CGAATGTGTCCCGCATGGTATTATTTGACAGGGATGATGGCCCTGGCAGGTGCGCAACCGTTGTCGCAGAAGTTCGAAAAAGTTGCTCGCAAAAGCCCGTTTGACAGAAATGTTTAAAAAGTGTTGGGTTTCCTACGAATCCGCAAGAGCGCGCGGGATGAGATTTTGACATTTTTTTGTTGAAAAACCATTGGTTTTTTGATGTTTTTATGTTAAAATCGCTCCGAACACTAAGCTTTTGGAAGGATTTCGTCTTGCGCGCGCGAATGTCCACTTTACCTTATTTTTTGCAAGGGATTCTTGAAATTTGATTATATTAGAACAAGAAATGTCATTTTATAGTGTTTTTTGCAAGGGAAAACGGATTACAACAAAACAACCGGATCTGGATCACATCGTTTTACCTGAGGCTTCCTCACGAAAATGATGAAAATGTAGCTGCGGCCTAGGCGGCGCAGGGGGGCCGTGCACCAGGGGTCCCAACAATAATTATTCTTTAGAATTAATAATGTTCACCACCACCACCACCACCACCACCACCACCACAACAACAACAACAACAACAACAACAACAACAACAGCAACAACAACAACAACAACAACAACAATAATAATAATGGCAACAGCATCAACAACGACATCAAGAACCACAACAACGACAATAATTTTAAGACCGTTCGCCCTTATTTGCTCGAGTGTCCAATAACGCGTATTTCCCAAACCCTCGATACCCGCCCTCTTCGGCTTCGTTCGAACCCCATTTGGGGGGTATACCTTTCTTCCCTGCAGGCCGGGCCCTGGCAAGCGGCGGGGCGGCCGCGGACCGTCGGCCTGGCCAGCGGCAGCGCTGATCGGCGGGGCGGCCGCGGACCGTCGACCCGACCCCAAGAGGGACGGACAGGGGACCGACCACGACGACGACGACGACGACGACGACGACGACGACGTCGAAGACGACGGCGACGACGACGACGACGGCGACGACGAGCGAAAGCGAGAGCGAGAGAGAACGACAGCAGGGCCACGAAGGGCACGAAGTAGGCCACGAAGGGCGACAGCGGGGACACGAAGGGAATGCGTATGGGGCCACGAAGAGCGGGGGCCACGAAGTGCAGATAATGCGGGGCCACAGAAGGCAACTATGGGACCAATGAGGGTAGCAACTGGGCCACGTAGGACAGTGAGGGGGCCACAAACGGCGACAGCGGGGCCACGAAGGGCACGCACATGGGGCCACAACGGGCGCGACTCCTGGGTGCCTGGGTGTCGGGAGCGCGGCGCTTAGGCAAATTGCAAGAAATTTCAACGCAAGGCCATTCTTCAATCAGTTGCGAGCCAGTCTTCAGCGAGAGCGCGACTCCAGAGCGCCGGGAGAGCGATTCCTGAATAAATTGTAAGGAAGTCCCAAGCGAGAGCGCGATTCCTGAATAAAATGCGAGGAAGTCTCGGGCGGGAGCGGGGGTCCTGGCTAAATTGCAAGGAAGTCTCAAGCGGGAGCCGTTGTTGTTGTAACCCGTGGGCCAGGGGCCCAGTTTGAGCAGGAAGACTTCCCCTGTCAAAAAACAGGGTGCGAGCGTCGAGGGACACACTTTGATTGAGAAAAACAATATGCACCGGTGAAGGGGGGATCAACAATAATTATTCTTCAGAAATGAGCACTCAACAACAGCAGCAACAGCAGAAGCAATAACAACAACAGCAGCAGCAACAGCAGCAGCAACAAAAACAATAACAACAACAACACAAGCACCAGCAGCAACAACCACAACGACAACGACGACGACGACGACGACGGCAACAACATCAACCACAACAAGAACAGCAGCAGTAACAACGGGACAACAACAATCCTTTCCAGACGTTTCCCTCCTATCTGCTCGCGTGCCATTCAGTACGTATATCCCAAACCCTTGGTACCCGCCCGCTTCGTCTTCGATCGTACCCCCTTGGGGGGATATCTTCCTCCCCTGCCACGTGCATTTAGCGCAGTCCGAACAACAGGCGAAGAGAAGATGGATAGGAGGGGTAGGGAGAAGGATGGAGCACGAGAGAAATTAACAGGAGGGGGCCAGGAGCAGAAATCACGTGGCAGAACCAGACAAGCAGATCGGGCGGGCAGACCCTAGTGAGCGGTTCGGAAGGCGGGCCCAGGCAGCCAGATCGAGCAGGCGGGTTGCTGAAGCGTGAACCCTACATGAATCGCGAGGAAGTCTCGAGCGATAGCGCGACTCCCAAGTAAATAACGAAAAAAACCAAAGCGAGAGCGTGATTCCTGAGTGTCGGAAGCGCGGCGTCTCAACAAATTGCGATGAAATCCCACGCGAGAGCGCGCTTCCTGCAGAAATTGATATAAATTTCCACACGAGGGCGTTATTTCGGAATACATTGTGAGAAAATATCAAGCGGGAGCCCTTGTTGCTCTAGCCGGGGGGGCCAGGGGCACAGTCTGAGCATTAAGATTTCCCCTGGTAAGAAGCAGGGTGCGAGCCCCAAGGGGGACGCTTCAATTGAAAAAATGCACCGGTGGGAGGCGGATTTACCAAATTCATTCTTCAAGGACAACAACAACAACAACAACAACGACAACAACAACAACAACAACAACAACAACAACAACAACCACGACAACAACAACAGCAACAACAGCAACAACAGCAGCAACAATCATAACACCAAAAAACAAACAACAAACAACAACAACCATCAAACAACACACAACTAACAACAAACAATTAACATCAAACAACAACAACAACAACAACAACAACAACAACAACAGCAACAACAACAACAACAACGACAGCAACAACAACAACAACAGCAACAACAATTACTAGCACGTGGGGACACTCCGTTCTCACCAGTGCCAGGGTTTTCATAGGAGGCGGGCAATACCCCCACTTTGTGGGGGGGCCGGTTCAAGCTCTACCAAATTTCCAAACGACTCTTCGCCACCACCCACACCCAGCTTCCCGCCCTATGACGTTCGGACACTTCACTTCGTGGCATGCGGACGACCGTGGCTACTATTCAGGGCCCCGCGGCCGACGACGACGGCGTGCGCGCGCGAAGAAAAAACGAATGTGTCCCGCATGGTATTATTTGACAGGGATGATGGCCCTGGCAGGTGCGCAACCGTTGTTGCAGAAGTTCGAAAAGTTGCTCGCAAAAGCCCGTTTGACAGAAATGTTTAAAAAGTGTTGGGTTTCCTACGAATCCGCAAGAGCGCGCGGGATGAGATTTTGACAATTTTTTTGTTGAAAAACCATTGGTTTTTTGATGTTTTTATGTTAAAATCGCTGCGAACACTAAGGTTTTGGAAGGATTTCGTCTTGCGCGCGCGAATGTCCACTTTACCTTATTTTTTGCAAGGGATTCTTGAAATTTGATTATATTAGAACAAGAAATGTCATTTTCTATTGTTTTTTGCAAGGGAAAGCGGATTACAACAAAACAACCGGATCCTGTACACACCCTCTTTTCTGAGGCTTCCTCACGAAAATGATGAAAATGTAGCTGCGGCCTAGGCGGCGCAGGGGGGGCGCGCACCAGGGGGCCCAACAATAATTATTCTTTAGAATAAATAATGTTCAACAACAACAACAACAACAACAACAACAACAACAACAACAACAACAACAACAATAACGACGACGACGACGACGACAACAGCAGCAGCAATAACATCAACAACAACAATAGCAACAATCATGATAAGAGCGCTTGCTCTTATATGCTCGCGTGCCATTCAACACGAATATTCCAAACCCTCGGTACCCACCCTTTTCGTCTTCGACCGTAAACACCCCCTTAGGGGCTATCATTATTACATGCAACGTGTCTTTCGTGCAGCCCCCAAGGCAGAGGAATGAGAACGGATGAAAGGAAGGGACAAGTGGCAGGCGGGGTGCTGAAGCGTGAACCCTGGATAAATCGCAAGGAGGTCTCGAGCGATAGCGCGACTCCCAAATAAATCGTCAGGGAAGTCACAGCGAGAGCGTGATTCCTGAGTGTCGAGGGCGCGGCGTCTCAACTAATTGCGAGGACGTCCCACGCGAGAACGCGATTCCTGCATGAATTGTGAAAACGACCCGCGCGAGAGCGCGATGTGGGAATAAGTTGTCAGGAAAATCAAGCGGGAGACGCTGTTGTTGTAAACCGGAGGCCAGGGGCGCAGTTTGGTGACACCCAGTTTCCCCTAGTAAAAAACACGGTGCGAGCCCCAGGAGAAGCACTTCCATTGAAACATACAATGGTTACTGGGCAGGGGAGATCAATAACCATCATTCTTTCGAGATAAGAATTCAACAATCATCATTCAAGACTGTTCGCTTCTATCTGCACGAGCACCATCCAACACGTATATTCCAAACCCTCGATACCCACCCTCTTCGACTTCGATCGTACCGCCCTTGGTGATCTTCCCTACCTGCCGCGTGTGGTTGGCGAAGCCCCTAACACAGGGGAAGGAAGGGATAAGGGAAGAGACAAAGGAGAGGGAGAAGGATGGAGCACGAGAGGGATCTACAGGAGGAAGGCTAGGAGCAAGAATACAAGTGCATTGTGCTGTTCATTCTGCCTCTTTGCGGTGTGTCACGACTGACCGAAAAAAGCGTTTCGCTCCGGACATCCTCAAAAATTATTCCGCGGGCCCTCTCCCCGCCTCGTTATTTACCGCAGAATAATTCCTCCGGCCCTCTTCCCGTCGTCCTCGGGGGGAAAACCTACTAAAAGAGATGGGCCTAAGCCCTTTCCGGGGAAAAGGCATCCTGGGGCTTCCTGGGGCCTCCTGGGGGCGGGGGGGGCGAAAAGCGCACCCCGAACATATATCCCAATACAGAACAATGCCTCCTGGGGCCTCGTGAAGCCTCCTGGAGCCTCCTGGGGCCTCCTGGGGCCTCCTGGGGCCTAACCAAAAAAATACCACTGTCGCCACGCGTGCGCCCAGCCCCCCAGCCTCCCCGCAAGAGGCCGCCCCCGGGGCGTAGCGGGCACGGAGCCTCGAACGCTGCGAAGTCGACCACGGGGCAGACGAACACGGGCCGCCGCCTCTGCACCGCCACCGAGAGCGCCTCGAGCGCGAGAGGCGCTCGCGCGCGCCGAGGCCGCCGGGGCAGGAGGCCGCCCGCGCACGCACGCGCCCCGCCGGGTGAGGCCGCGAGGGCCCGGCCGCACCATCCTTGGGCGCAGGAGGAGGAGGAGGAGGAGGAGGAGGAGGAGGAGGAGGAGGAGGAGGAGGAGGAGGAGGGGGAGGAGGAGGAGGAGGAGGAGGAGGAAGAAGCAGGAGGAGCAGGAAGAGGAGGAGCAGGAGGAGCAGGAGGAAGAGGAGGAGAGGAGGAGGAGGAGGAGGAGGAGGGAGGAGGGGAGGAGGAGGAGGAGGAGGAGGAGGCGGAGGATGCGGTGTCCGATGCTCTCTCGCCCGGCCGTCGAGGCCACGCCTGCAGCAGCCATGCCGCGCTCCACCTGGCGCAACCGAGCGGAGGGCGGCAGCGGGGGTGCGGAGCGAGCGCCGGGCGCCGGCGCGGTGGCCTTTGGGGGGAAGCGGCAGGCGACCGAGGGCTGCTGGCTCGAGGTGCCCCCTGGGTCGAGGTGCCCCCGGCGTTGCGCTCCACTCTGGGGGCCCCTCCTCCCCCCCCCCCCTCTCCTCCTCTCTCCTCCTCCTCCTCTTCCTCCTCCTCCTCCTCCTCCTCCTCCTCCTCCCCTTCCTCCTCCCCCTCCTCCTCCCCCTCCCCGTGCGAGGCGCTCTGGAGGCAGCGGGGGCCTCCGTGCAAATCCTGGGGGCACCTCGGGCCAGGGGCAGTTCTGGCAGCACCCGAACGGCGCGGCCTTCAGAGTCGCAGCCCGGGAGGAGGGGGTACGGAGGCTCGGAGGGGCGCCTGGCCTGGCCGCTCTCTCTCTCTCTCTCTCTCTCGATGGCCAGTCGCGGGCCGAGCGAGACGCTGACAAGACCGGGAGGGGGGGGGCCCACAGGACAAAACGTAGCGCTCCGAGGACCAGGCGTGCCTCCAAAGACGGCGCGCGAGCCACCAAGATTTTTGCTGGGCCAGCCCGTGGAGCAAGAGCTCTCGGTTGCCCGATGTCTGATGGCGCGAGATCGTGGCATGGGGCCCTGTCGAAAACACCGACGGGAAGCAAATTGCGGACGTAGCAGGAACAATCGAACATTCCAGCGCTGATTACTCGCACCTTCTGTTGTAGTGCCCATCATATCAAGAGAGGACGAGCATCCGACGAAATGGAAAAGGCGACATTGACACCTGTCAACGGAGAGTCCCAAAATCGAGGAAGACAATAATACAGATGCACTCATCCTTGGCATCCGTCCCAAACGACACTCACGCCCAGTATCCGCTGACTTCCGTGGAGCCTGCCTGCCTTCCCTGGGAGCGGCAGCGCCACGCTCGTTCGTGGCCGAACTGAAAGCAACCGGGCTACCCGTCGGCGTGGTGGACCTCAGCTGGCCCCAAAGCCGCACGACAACTTTGGCGAAAGTGGCGGCGAAACCCAGCGCAGAGCGGACTACACGGACAACTGTGGTATACAAATGCGTCGTCTTACAAACGAATAGCGATGTCGTTATGTCCGCCACAAACCAGCACCGCGTTCGATCGGCGAGCGCTGGGAAAGTTTCGAGCATCGGCGAGATGGATGGGAATCTTGATAGCACCAGAGGTCCGCTCGATGCCGCCCCCAGCCCCCGGAAGCCGCGTTTCAGATGGAAGGCTGAAAAATCTGGGCTGCGCGAGCTGTCCTTCTGGGCGCGCACCGTGTACGCTTCTCTTCTGGTGCCCACGGGATGTCCGTGCCGCAACGAAGCCTCGTGCGGGACGAGCGGCGTAGGCACAAAGAAAATCCGCCACCGTGGCCCCCTGGCACGTTAAGGCGTGGTGGCATGCCAAGTGCTGTCTGGTGGGGGCTCTGTCTTCTTGAGCACGAAGCCATACGCCGTCCAGCGCGTAGGCGGGAAGCCTGAATTCGAGCGCTCACAGCCAGTGCACCTGCTAAACAGGGCAATAGGAGGAGGAGGAGGAGGAGCAGGAGGAGGAGGAGGAGGAGAGACGAGAGAACAAACAAAAAAAAACTTATAGGTAACCCTCACCAGTCCTGGTCACGCTCAACGCGCGCGCCAGCCCTCCCCCCCCCAACACGGGACGCCTCGGGGTCACGTCGCAGTCTTCACGGGACTGCCTGGTCATGGGGCCATCTTCTCGTGACGGCGCCCCCCCCTCCCCCGTCCAACGCTGCATCGCAAAGACCAAGTGAGGCAGCGGTCCCCTCACAGGCCAATTTTGGATGGGGGAGGGGGGGGGGGGCTGCCGAATCGATCCGCCGAGTTTTTTCTCCAGGAGGGCTATAGGAAACGCCCAATATCAAATATGAGTCCCGAGCACCGTACATGGTGCTCTCCTGACCCCCTTCTTCATACTCCTCCTCCTCCTCCTCCTCCTCCTCCTCCTCCTCCTCCTCCTCCTCCTCCTCCTCCTCCTCCTTCTCCTCTTCTTCTACCTCTTGTGCTTCATCCGGCTGCTCGCGGCATTTTCCTTGATCCCGCGTCGAGCTTGCTAGACGCATGCTTTTGCCCACTCGCCCACTGGCGTATGGCTTGTTCGCTCGTTCGTTCGAGAGGCCTCACCGGGTGCGCGGAGAACGAGAACGCCACTGCGGCCCCCGGTCGGCCCAGGGCGACCCCCAGAGAGCCCCCCAGACTGGCCCAAGAGGGGGCTGGACCGAAACGCTGTTGTTCTCCCCCTGCCGCCCACATTGCGAAAGCGCGGAGTTTCTCGAAATACCCAATGCACCATGGGGCGCATTATGAGGAAACGCCTCTGGAGCCACCTCCCTTCGATATGGATTCGTTTTGTTGCTCGTTTTGCTCTGCCTGCTTTCATGTACCTCCCTGCCAAAACAAAAAACAAAACACAGCCGAAGCCCAGCAAAACAGCGTCCAGAGTCCAAGGAGGCCCCAAGACGTCCCCACGACGGCCCCCAGAGATCCCCCGGATGGCCAGAAGGGCCCAGGGACGGCTCAATAAGGCCACAATGCGGCCCAAGAGGGGCGGCACTAGAGGGCCCCGAGGGATCCCCAAGACGGCCCAAACAGTTTTTGTGATCCGCGGGTCGAGAACGCACCTTTTCCAGTCGAAGCTAAGCGGGCCGCGCACAGCTTTAATTGACAGAAAGACGGCCCAAACAGTCACCATGAGGAGTCCTCCAGAAGTGGGGGCGGCAGGTTCCACATGTGACGGCCTTCTGGGCGGTGCTCGAAGCGTCGCCGCACGGAGTGCATTCGCTGACACGGTGGCGGATGTGCCGCTGCCCCAGTCTCGAGAGGAGATGCGGGGGAAGATGGCAACCAGGGCGGTGAGAGGTCTGGCCCGTCAGCGCCCACGAGCGACGAACATACTTACGCAGGACGAAAGATTTTCCTCTTGAGGTGCAAATGGCCATGAAGAGTTCGCGAGACAACGTCGGTGCCGCCGAACGGACGGCGACCGGACGAGCTGTTTGCAGCAACTGGGGGGGGGGAGGGATGTATGTATTCATGTTGAATGGGGCCTGTTCGCGCGGGGAGTTGATGGGAGTGCGCGAGCCGACGCAGGGCCCATCGTGGAAAGTTGATTACTGAACCCCCCTTCCCCCATAGAATCTTAACACGGGCGGTTTGCGGGGTCCGCGGATCCGATTTCTTCCGGCCCCCTGGTTTAATTTAATAATATAAATTTAAAGCAGGGTAGAAATCGGATCCGCCGTAAAAAATAAGACCGGACACGGATCCAGCGAATCCGAAATCGGATCCGTGCGGACGGAAATCGGATCCACCGAAACAAGCACCCAAGCCACATTTGGATCCGCGCGAACTTCATGGGATCCAACGGCGGTTATCTCATACGGGTCTGCTCAAGACTTCACATCGTCGTTCCGAGCCCAAGAGGAAAAAACTTTCGTCCTGGGGATGTAGCCGCATCCATGCCCCGACGGCCTGGATTACCGACATGCGATCCCAGGGGATGTGCGATCCCATGGATACTGATGCGCGCGGAGGGCACCCGCGCAGAGCCGCCGCTCGCATCCACAGGGTCGCGGCCCAGGAGTCCCAGACCGCGAGACCGTGGACATGGACAAGCTTTCCGCCAACGAGGTGCAGGGCGTCGTGGGCAAAGGAGGGAGCAGAAGAGACGTCAGGCTGGGGCGGAAGGAGGCCCGGCAGGAGGCGACCGGCTGCGGAGGACGGGCGCGGAGCGAGACGAGGCGGAGCGGGGGACGAGACGGGGGAAGCGAGGATCGCCGTGGAAAGCTCCCACGCAGGCTATCGACATGTTGCCCGATCGCCAGTGACGAACATGTCCGTATCCATGGCCACGCGCTCGGGGCGCCGAGGAGCGCGATCCCATGGAGCCGCGATGCCGCGGGTGTGCGCCGCGCGGGGCATATCTGCGCAAGGACGCCCCGTGCCGGCGAGGTCGTGGCCGAGAAGTTGGGAGCCGCAGGGCCGTGGGCAAGGCTGTTCTTCGTGAAGGGGCCCTGGGACACACAAATAAATACACACAAATAAAAAGATGCCCCATATTTTCCCATATTGTCTAAGTTTTTGTCTTCCCCCTCACTTCCCATATTTTACCATATTTTCCTGGGAGTGGACGATTAATTGTGTCTGTGTGTTTTTTCCCCTCCTGACTTCAGGCCCACGAGCCACGCCCCCGCCCACACACGCTCTCACTCACTCGCTCGTGGCGGTGGAACGTCGTGGTCGTGCAGCCACCTGCCCTGCCCCTCCGTCTCGGCGAAGTGCCCGAGGCGGAGGGGGGGGTGCGTTCGGGAAAAGGTGAAAAAAAAGACAAGATGGGTAGAGTAAAGTGGGCAGCAGCGAGCCGAAACAGACCTCTACTGATGCAGAGTGGGGGAGATGCGCCTGTCACAACGGCTGTCACAACGACACAAGGGCTGGACCTAAACGTTGTTTTGCTCTGCCTGTTTTCTGCACTCTACCAAGACGAAAAACAAGACACGGCCGAAGTCCATCAAAACAGCGCCTGGGTCCAGCCCTGCCCAACCCCAGGAGAGGCGAGAGTGAGTGGGGGCTTGAAGAAAGAGATCCCGCCTCCAGGGCCAAGCTTCCCATCCGTGCCCCCCCCCACCCCCTGTCCGCTTCTCACGTTCCATCCCTCTCTTTCGCCGGGCTGCACTGACAGCCATGGAGCCCGCGACCCAGCGTCCATAGCTGGAGGTGGCGGAGCGGGTGCGCAGATCGCCGACCACCGGATCCTTCAGATCAGAAGTCGCGCGAATTCAAGACATCGCAACCGAGCACCCTTGGAGCTCTCGACCTCGTGCTTGCGCATGACTTTTCAGGCTGGGTCGATCCACCAGGATCGAAGAGCCTGGGATGGACAAAAAGGCCAGGCGCGCTACTGTCACGACGCCCGAATGCCGGGCGAGCCTGACATCGACAGATGTGGACTGTTCAATCCGCATGCCCAATAAATCTCGAACCCTTCCCGAGGTGCAAGTTTTCATCACGGCTATATGTTTGATGGCCCCGGGGCCCGAAAACCGCCCCCCGATGCCGAATAGAAAGACAAAGACCTGGACTGAAGATCCGCCAAAACCTGGGGCGCGGGGAAATCTCTAGAGGGCACCGTAAGCGCAAGAGACGTCGGGCCCAAGCAGGAAAGGATGGCCCCCGGCCGGGCCTCGAGCACACCAGTGCTGCCGTACGGCTCCTGCGCGTGGGGCTGGCATCCCTGCTCCCGACGAGAGAGAGTGCAGGGGGCGAGGCAGGGGGAGAACAAGGCCAGCGCCACGCTGGCTTTGGGTGCCGAGAAATTTCCTGATGCGCCCCCGCCGCTGCGTCTTGGCTGCCGAGAACTCCCCCGTCTCGGCCCCGGCCCCGCCTGCCCTGGCCTCGTCGATGCAGAGGTGGCCAGGAGGGGAATGAACAAGAGAGGGCGGGGGCGAGGGAGCAGAAGAACCACCATAAGAACAGCATAGACCTGCGATCACACGCACACAGGCGCATAAAGGAGGAGGAGGAGGAGGAGAGGAGGAGGAGGAGGAGGAGGAGGAGGAGGAGGGAGGGGGAGGAGGAGGAGGAGGAGGAGGGGGAGGAGAGGAGGAGGGAGGAGGAGGAGGAGGAGGGGAGGAGGAGGAGGAGGAGGAAGGAGGAGGAGGAGGAGGGGGAGGGAGGAGGGGGAGGGAGGGAGGAGGAGGAGGAGGAGGAGGAGGTCCGCGCGGAGCTCCCGCGGCGACGCCAGGCCACCCCCCCCGCTCGGCAGCCCACGCTCGGCGACGCCAGAGGGCGCGGCCTGCACAGGGCGTGGCCGGCAGCCCACGCCCCGAGGGGGGCGGGCGAGGGCCTCGGCGGCGTTCTCCGCCGCGCCCCGAGGGGGCCCCATGAGGGTTAGGTCGGGCCTGTCCACCATACAGGGGGATTTGGGGCGAAACTGTTGCTGAGCAAGAAAATTAAACCAAACAGAAAACAAAAACAAACAAAAAATGCTCAAAACATGGTCCGAAAATCGTCCCCTGACTATTTTTGGACCATTCTTGAACTTCCCCCCCGTAGAGGGACAGGCCCGACTTGAGATCAGGGCCAAGTGGTGCCATCCAAGCCCCAACGACGCCGCTCGCAGACCACACCCCTGGCAGTCGCCGCTACGTGCGCGGAGCGCGCCGGGGGGCGGCGCAGGAGGGCGCCGCCAAGGGGGGCGCAGGGGAGGGAGGCGGGGCGCCGACCAGCGGTGAGCCGCGCAGGCCCCGGAGAACCGGTCGGTGCGCGTGCGTTTTGTTATTGTGGATGCCATGATGATGGACAGTCCCACACGCCTATCATTGAACTAACGATGTGTTTAAAATGTTAGAATGTTCTATACATTAATTCTAATGATAAAATAATAATAATAATAACAGTAATAAGAAGAAGAAGAAGAAGAAGAAGAAGAAGAATAAGAAAAAGAAGAAGAATGATGATAATAATAATAATAACAACAACAGTAATAATAATAGTAAAATAATAGTAATAATAAAAATAATAGTAATAATAATAAGACTAATACTAATATTAATAATGATAATAATAATAATAAGAAGAAGAAGAAGAAATGCGTGGAGCTTCCCATATGTGCATCTTATGTTTTATGCCATGCCATAGCGAGCGTCTGTTCATGAGCGCTTGACTCTAATAGCGCGTCCAAATGAGCACCACGCCTCGACTCCTTCCACCGTGCGTCCCAGAAGGTACGTGCCAGAGCACGACCCAAAGGACCAGCACGCCTCGACTCATTCCTCCGTGCGTCCCAGAAGGTACGCGCCAGAGCACGACCCAAGGGACAAGCACGCCTCGACTACTTCCTCCGTGCGTCCCAAAGGGTACGTGCCGGAGCACGACCCAAGGGACCAGCACGCCTCGACTCCTTTCTCCGTGCGTCCCAGAGGTTACGTGCCAGAGCACCACCCAAGGGAGCAGCACGCCTCATCTCCTTCCTCGCAGCATGAAAACGAGCAAACCGCCTGAGACATCCCTGCAAAATGGCCGCGAACGGGCCCGTGTCCTACCCCCTGGCGGCTCTCCTAACCGAGCCCGCCGAGCGCAGCGGACCGCGGCGCAGGCGGACCGCCCGGACCACGGGCACCCAGGCCCGCCACGCACTCTTCCAAAGGGGCCCAGGGGCACACAGGTCAGCAGACACAACTCCCAGGACTCCCCACGTGTCCCTATGCCTTCTAGGTACTCGTCTTCCCCCCCGATTCCCATGTTTTCCCATATCTTCCGGGGGATCGACGAGTCATTGCGTCCGTGTGTGTTTCCCCTCCTGAACTTCTTCCGTGTGTGGTGGACGTTGGGGGAGGAGGGCGAATCCCAGCACCAGCATTGACGCCAACACCAGCGCTGACGCCAACACCGACACACCCAATGTTCCGCGGGTCCGCACGCACTCTTCCTCTCGGCGGCGGGCGAGGGGGGGAAGCGAGGAGAAAGCCCCCTCAGAAGGCGGCGGGACTCCTCAGAGGCGCTCAGGCCTTCTGGGAGGTGTTCTGTGTCTTGGGGCAAGGCTTAGGAAACTTCTCAGAAGGCCGGGGCACTTCCGAGCCTCCTGAGAAGGCCCGCCCCTCCTCCCTTCCCCCCCCCCAGCGCGGAGCCAGGAGATCTGCGCGGAGTGCCCAAAGCTCAGGCCTATGCCGTTTCCTCTTCCGCCGACCAGCCATAACTGGGGGAGCTGTGGTTCTTACCCCCCTGGGGGAACCCATCGCATCGACGACCTCTCGAGAGGGGTGTCGAAATCGATAGGGTCCCCCAGGGGGGTAAGGACCACAGCTCCCCCAATCAAGGCTGGCCTGTTCTTCGAGCTCGGAGGACCACCGCCGCGCCCGAGGCGCGAACGCCGGCGCCGGAGGCCCTCGTGGAAGCTCGGCCGCCCACGGCCACGGGCCGAGATCTGCCCCCCGCCGCCCCGCCTCGCCCGAGAGCAGGGCCACGCGCACTGGCACCTCGCCCCGGCCGTGCGGCATGGCCGCCGCGGCCGGCGGGAGGCGCGCGAGGCCGGGGAGGCCCAGAGGAAACAACGCCGGAAACATCTAAGCTTTTGTTGGAGGCCTGGAAATGGGCACCAACACCAACACAGGGGGTTGCCTCCACAGGTGCAAGATGGTCCTGGGGTGCGGTGTTGGTGGTAATATTTCGGTCGCCTTGGAAGCCGGAATATTACCACCATCACCGAGATCGGGATCTTCTTCACTCGGTGGAGGCACGCCGCCGATATTGGTGTTGGTGTCAACCTCTAGGCCTGCGATTTTGGCGCTCCGCGCGGAGTTCTGGGACCCGCGCTGAACCCCCCCGCCCCGCGACGCCTCCGGCGCAGCCCCTGGCGCGCGGCGCGCGCCAGGAAGGGGGGGGGTCCAGCGCAGATCCAAGAAGTCCGCGCGGAACGCCAAAAGCTCATGTCTGTGGCGCTTCTTCTCTTCTCTTAGTTGAGGGATGAAAAAAAAACGGCCCTACCCCGGGCTACAAGCGCGTGGTCTGCGAACCTCCTGGGAACCCCCAAAGAAGCCTGGAGCCGCCAGGACGCGGCACACCACGCAGGGTGTACCCTGTCAGCCCACAGGAGTTTCAGCGCACAGTGCCTCGTATAAAACAGGGCTAGGATCGGGATAAATCGCTCTCAGAGCGTTCCGGAGCGCTCTCAGAGCGTTCCGGCGCGCTCTGGAGCGGCCGCGGCGCCCAATACATCCTCCAAACCCGCCGACTCTCCGAGATTTCGAGTTCTCCCGATCCGATGTTGTCCCGATCTTCGCGTCGCTGTATCGCAAACCAGGGCAGTAGGGGCGTTTTTGATGCCCCTGCTTTCGGGAAGGCCTCCTCCTCCTCCTCCTCCTCCTCCTCCTCCTCCTCCCCCTCCTCCTCCTCCTCCTCCTCCTCCTCCTCCTCCTCCTCCTCCTCCTCCTCCTCCTCCTCCTCCTCCTCCTCCTCCTCCGCCTCGTAAACCAGGGCAGGGGCGTTTTTGATGCCCCTGCTTTCGGGAAGGCCTCCTCCGAGGAGGGCGGCGGCGCCGGGCTCGGGCTCGGGGGGGGAGGCTCCCCGCCCGGCCCCGGCGGGGGCCTCCGGCCGGGACCGGCGGCGGGGCCCCTCGCCCTCGGAGCTCGGCGCGGGCTCGCGCCGCGGGCGTCCCAGCAGAGCAGGGCCGCCAGGGTGACAGTCGAGGCGTTGACCTGAGGAACCCTAGATAAGGAACGAGGCCCCTTTTTCCCATAAGTTCAACCTCGATTTCCTATGGAAACCCTCAGGAAAACCCTAGGCAAACTTTGAAATAATCTAGGAACACCGAGCCCCTCCCAACAAAAAGGGTTCCTTCTTCAGCGCCCCGACTGTATGTTGCTCCCATCGCACTTCAGGACCACATCCCAGAAACCATTTCGAGCACCCGGAAAGGTGCCGAAAGAGTGTGTCGGAAAATAGTGTCGAAACAGTGTCGGACGAGTGTCTCCCAGGGCCCGACACGTGAAGACCTCGAGTTCTAGGGGTACTTTTCTGGCGCTCGACATTCTTTCTTGCGATCTGGGCTAAAGCAGGCTGGAACATCACAACGCCAGGGGCCTCAGGGGCGGGCTCGTGGGCGAGCGCGGGGGGAGCTCGGGCCGCGGTGTCGGAGTGCCGCGCACGGCCCCCGACACTGACGCGGGCCAGGAGCTTCGGCTCCAGGAGGCTTCGGAGGGGGGCGCGGCGGAGGCGGGAGGAGAGAGAGGCAGAGGCTCGGGAGCGGCCAAGAGGGGGGTGTCCAAGAGGGGGGGGTGCAAATCATGACCGGCGGCATGTGCGCGGCCCAGCGGGGGGGCCAGGGACGCAATGAAACAAGAAGAGGCGCCATGAAATCTGGGGAAATATCATGGCCCCCGCCATGATATCCACCCCCCCCCAGTCATCACCCCCCTCTTTTCCGCCCCCGAGAGGCGGCCGCTCCTGTTCTCCAGGGGCGGCGCAGGCGAGGGGCGAGGGAGGAGAGGCAGACGACGGCGACGAGGGGCGGGCTCGTCAGAGCTCCCGCGAGCTCGGGCCCTGCGCTTCCACGAGCGGGGGAGCTGGCGGCGGGCCGGTGGGCAGGCCCGCCCGCGGGGCGGCGGGGCCCTTGAGAGGACCCCCGTAGCTCGGGCGTGGCGGCGCGCGGGACGGGGGCGGGGCTCGGAGGCCTGGAAGTGGGCACCAACACCAACACAGGGGGCTGCCTCCACAGGGGGGAGATGACCCCAGATTCCGGTGTCGGTGGTAACGCTTCGGCCACCCTGGAAGCCAGAATGTTACCACCATCCCCGGGATCGGAATCTTCTTCCCTCGGCGGAGGCACACCGCCGATATTGGTGTTGGTGTCAACCTCCAGAGGCCTGCGAGGGGCGGATGGGGGGAGTAGCGACCGAGGCCTCCCAAATGGGACGCACGAGGACGTGCAGTAGTGCTGGACGTCCTCCTCGGAGGCGTGCACCCGACCCGAGCACACAGTACAAGCAACCTGTAGTGCATCGTTGCCCGAGCGGTGGGGCCAGAAAGGGCCCACCTTCGAGCACATGCTGCAAGACTTCTCGGCGCGCACGTCTCTCGGGAGGCCTACCACGAGATCCCAACTAACACTCTACAGCTCTCTGCCCCGCAACCCAAGCACGGTGGCGGGATTAGCCGGAGGCCACTCGATCCGCTGCCCGCTGTGCTTGTCACAGTGGCGCCCAGCGTGCTGGACCCTTTCGGTTTTGGTTTTGGCTCTTTTTCCACAAAAAATATCCCAGTGCGACCATACCTAGGAGTTGGAGCCCCTAGGAAAGCAGCATTAGTAGTAACAGTAAAGCTAAGCTGAAGCTAAGCTAAAGCTAAGCTAAAGCTAAGCTAAAGCTAAGCTGAAGCTAAGCTAAAGCTAAGCTAAGGCTAAGCTAAGGCTAAGCTAACACTAAGTTAAAGCTACGCTGAAGCTAAGCGAAGCTAAGCTAAAGCTAAGCTAAAGCTAAGCTAAAGCTAAGCTAAAGCTAAGCTAAAGCTAAGCTAAAGCTAAGCTAAAGCTAAGCTAAAACTAAGCTGAAGCTAAGCTGAAGCTAAGCGAAAGCTAAGCTAAAGCTAAGCTAAGGCTAAGATAAAGCTAAGCTGAAGCTAAGCTAAAGCTAAGCTGAAGCGAAGATAGAGTTAAAGCTAAGCTAAAGCTAAGCTAAAGCTAAGCTAAAGCTAAGCTAAAGCTAAGCTAAAGCTAAGCTAAAGCTAAGCTAAAGCTAAGATAAAGCTAAGCTAAAGCTAAGCTAAAGCTAAGCTAACACTAAGCTAAAGCTGAACTAACACTAAGCTGATCGATAAGCTAAAGCTAAGCTACAGCTAAGCTAACATTAAGCTGAAGCTAAGCTAAAGCTAAGCTAAAGCTAAGCTAAAGCTGAAGCTAAAGCTAAGCTAAGGCTAAGCTAACACTAAGCTAAAGATAAGCTAAAGCTAAGCTGAAGCTAAGCTAAAGCTAAGCTAAAGCTGAGATTTTAAGCTAAGCTAAAGCTAAGCTAAAGCTAAAGCTAAAGCTAAGCTAAAGATAAGCTAAAGCTAAGCTGAAGCTAAGCTAAAGCTAAGCTAAGCTAAGCTGAAGCTAAAGCTAAGCTAGCTAAGCTAAAGCTAAGCTAAAGCTAAGCTAAGCTAAAGCTAAGCTAAAGCTAAGCTAAAGCTGCTAAAGCTAATAAAGCTAAGCTAAAGCTAAGCTAAAGCTAAGCTAAGCTAAGCTAAGCAAGCTAAGCTAAGCTAAAGCTAAGCTAAAGCCTAAGCTAAGCTAAAGCTAAGCTAAAGCTAAGGCTGAAGCTAAGCTCAGCTAAGCTATAAGTTAAGCTAATATAAGCTGAACTAAGGCTAAAGCTAAGCTAAAGCTGAGCTAAAGCTAAGCTAAAGCTAACTAAGCTAAGCTAAAAAGCAAGCTACCTCTAAGGCTACCTAAGCTGAAGCTAAGCTAAAGCTAAGCTAAAGCTAAGCTAAAGCTAAAACTAAACTACTGAAGCTAAGCTAAAAGCTGAGCTAAAGCTAAGCTAAAGCTAAGCTAACACTAAGCTAAAGCTAAGCTAAAGCTAAAGCTAAAGCTAAAGCTAAAGCTAAGCTAAAGCTAAAGCTAAGGCTAAAGCTCCCAGGGGCTGGGGGAACCGCGGGGCGGGGACTGGGGGAACCGCCCGGGGCGATTAGCATTGCCCTGCCCCTTTAGCTAACAGAGTAAGAACCCTTCTAGGCAGAGCCTAGGTAGGGAAAAAAACATAAAAAACTCTCCCCTGAGGCTCCGGCCCGTTCCGCCGGCCACCCGGAAGGGACCGGAAACTGCACATGTCAATGCCTTTCACGCCCAAGATGGCCCCAAATGGACTCCAAGATGCCTCCAAGACGGCCAAGATGGCCCAAGATGGCCTCCAAGTCCGCCTAAGATGGTCCAAGCTGGCCTCCAAGACGGCCCAAGAGGGTCTAAGATGCCTCCAAGTCCGACCAAGAAGCCATCAAGACGGCCCCAAAGGCCTCCCAAGAGGCCTCCAAAACGGCCCGAGAGGCCAGAGCCAGAGACGCTAAAATTAAGAATTTGGACTTTGAAGGATTGTCGTATATGCTCTTTTTCAACATTCCGACGGCCCAAAACGGCCCAAGAGGCCCCCAAGATCGCCCAAGAGGCCTCCAAGATGGCCCCATAAAAAGGCCCAAGAGGCCCCCAAGACGGCCCCAGGAGGGGCCAAAGACGGCCCAAGAGGCCTCCAACACGCCCAACAAAGCCTCCAAGACGGCCCTGGAGCACCCCAAGAGGGCCCCTCCGGAGAGGCCCCCAGATCGGCTTCCGACGGCGTCAGATGGGCCACGAGCCTACCAAGACGGCCGAAGATGGCCCTAGCATGGCCCAAGAGGCCTCCAAGAGGGCCTCCAGGAAGGCCCGAAGAGGCGAAAATCAGTGACTTTCCTTAGGTTTTTGAAGGATTTGGGTATTTGCTTCTTTTCGGCTTTCCGACAGCCCAAGAGGCCGAGAAGATCGCCCAAGAGGCCTCCAAGATGGCCCCAGAAAGGCCCAAAAGGCCCCCAAGACGGCCCCAGGAGGAGCCAAAGACGGCCCAAGAGGCCTCCAACACGCCCAACAAAGCCTCCAAGACGGCCCTGGAGCATTCCAAGAGGGCCCCAAGTCGGCCCAGAGTGGCCCCCAGATCGGCTTCCGACGGCATCAGATGGGCCAGGGGCCCACCAAAACGGCCGAAGATGGCCCTAGCATGGCCCGAGACGGCCCAAGAGGCCTCCAAGAGGGCCCCCAGGAAGGCCCGAAGAGGCCAAAATCAGCGAATGTCCTTCGGTGTTTGAAGGATTTTGGCCGACGGCCCGAGACGGCCAAAGAGCCCCCAAAGATCACCCCAAGATCGCCCAAGAGGCCTCCAGGATGGCCCCAGAACGGCCCAAGAGGCCCCCAAGACGGCCCACAGAGGGCCCCAAGACGGCCCAAGAGGCATCCAAGACGCCCAAGATGGCCTCGAAGACGGCCCTGGAGACCCCAAGAGGGCCCCAAGTCGGCCCAGAGAGGCCCCTAAGGCGGCTTCCGACAGCGTCAGACGGGCCAGGAGCCCACCAAGACGGCCAAGGACGCTCCCGAGAAGCCCCCAAAGGCCCCCAAGAGGCCCAAGGAGGCCCCACGATGCCTCCAAGAGGCTCCCAGGAAGCTCCCAGGAGAGAGTGTCCCCAGAGGCTCCCAAGATGTCCCCTCCTCCTCCTCCTCCTCCTTCTCCTCCTCCTCCTCTTCTTCCTCCTCCTCCTCCTCGTCCTCCTCCTCCTCCTCCTCCTCCTCCTCCTCCCCCACCTCCGCCTCCGCCTCCTTCTGATCTTCCCTGCCGTCCTCCCCCAACTGCTCCCCCAAGGGTTTCCACAATGGTTTGGGGAACACATGGTTCGATAGCTTGGCGGAGCTCTTACCACAACGCTCGGCCACATGGGCGATTCTAGAAGGCAGGGGGCGGCGGTGATTCGCCGTAGGTGTCTTCGATACATCTAGGCATACACAGATATAAGATTCCCGTGCAAATATACCACGGCTTCGACACATGAAGGAAACAAAACGTAAACTGCACCTTTTCTTCGAAAAAGGGAACGGGACCCCCCCCCCGGATCGGTGGCCCAGGGGCCCCTCAGGGAGAAATGCACGACTGGACGGAGGAAGGAGTAGCAAGTGAACCATGTGCGCGCGCAAACGAATAAGAGGTGATTAGTATACATGGGCGTGCGTGCGGGGGTAGGATGAAAGCCACGCCTGCCAACGCGGCGTGGCGAGGCGATATGGTTGTCCTGTCCTGTCTTTGGGGCTTATGGGGGTATCCTGGGGCCTATCTTGGAGCGGAACGGTGGATGACCATCTGGGAGCCACTCGGCGCCTGGAGGGAAGCGCGCTGTGGGCGTACTCAGTGAGAGAAAGCAGAAGGGAGGGACGGAGAGGCGGAAGCAGGGCCCTCTCGGGGCCTCATGGGGACAATCTTGGGGCCATCATGGAGTCCCTTGGGGCCTCGTGGAGCCCTTTGGGCCTGTGCGGTAGTTCGGGGGATTCCAGAAGGGCTCGCGGCCATCTCGCGCCGGTCTTGGGCCGTCCATTGGGCCATCTCGATGATGTCTTGGACCTTGTCGGGGGCTCCTGGAGGAGGAGGAGGAGGAAACAGGCAGAAAGGGGATGGAGGAGAGGAGGAGCTGGAGGAGATGCCGTTGCAGGGGTTGATCTGGCCTGTCTCTCATTGAACGTTACACCCTTCTGCAACGCAAAGTTCTACAGAAGGAAGACCCTGGCGACAAACCGCTTCATCGCCGCCTCACTGACTGGATAGAAAAAAGAAACCAAAGCTGCACGGAACGAGGCTTCGGCAATGCTCGCAAACCCGGCATCCGCGCGCACTCGACAAATGCCAGCTAATAACAGGCAAGACTTGAACAGATCACGATTCCTTGCCATAGCTGCGTTTACCAGTTCGTATGGATCGTCGTCAGAATCGTCGTCAGAATCGTCGTCGAGCTCGGTTCCATCGGGACTGAAGCTAAATTCTTGCAGCACGTTGTTCCTGATCACGGACTTTGCCAGAATAGCGAAGCCGACGCGAGTGGAGCCCTTTAAGCAGCAGTCAAAGTGAAGATGTCGAAGGGACTCATTCAACATCAATGCTTTCCCAAAAGCCGCTAAGCACTCGTCGGCATCTGCGCCGCTATTATGAACGGCGCAACCGCGCAGGTGGAGCCTCCAGAGTGACGCGTTCTCCTCCAAAGCTGCAGCGATACTCGCCAAACCCACCGCGCTGGCCTCGCTGAAACAATATAGCAGGCGAAGAACCTGCAGAACCGTGGTTTCCTTCAGCAAATGAGAGAACGCAGCCAGACCATCGTCGCCGACGCTCTCAAAGCAACTCTCGAGATGAAGAGTCTGGAGGGCCGCGTTCAGCTTCAATGACTGAGCAAATGCAATCAATCCATCGCTGTCGACACTCTCAAAGCAACCCTTGAGCTGAAGATGGTACATGGACCGATTGTCCTTCAACATCTCGGCCAAGGCCGCCAGGCCCAACCGACCACAAGGATTCTTGACA